AGTATCAATGTTGGAAAAAATAATACGACCAAGAGACCAAACCGCTAAACCAAGATGTTAGTTCCTTTTTCTCTTAATTGTACGAGGTGTGTTCAAAGGAAAAGGTGAATTTTGATTTTTCGCAAGCTGTGTGCATTCGGTTAACGATATTTTGTTTTTGTTATAATCGGACACATATGTTTATCATGTAATGCTTGCATTAGGAGACAATTTCGATTAGTAGTTTGTTTTTGACAACAGAAATGGTTAGTCACGTTTTTGTGTGCTCTTCGATTTTAGACTGTTGAAAGAAATAAATCAGAAAATATGTATTGAATTTTGCATTAAAAATGTGCTCCAAGGCACTCGAAATATTGACTGTGGCATTCGGTGAGTCCACTTTGTCTGAAAAAAGTGTTTATAGGTGGTCTGATCGCTTTACAGAAGGCCGAGAATATGTTGATGACGATGAGCATGCTGGAGGTGCGACCACGTCAACAAGCGAAGAAAACATGGAAACAGTGCAAAAAAATTGTTGAATCACTATTAGGGAAGTTGCAAAGGATGTTGGCATATCAAACGGCTCATGCCATTCAATTTTTCCGGAAGGTTTGGGCATGAGACGTGTGGCACCGAAGTTTGTTCCGAAATTGCTAAATTTTGAACAACAGCAATGTCGCATTAGTATCGCTCAGGAGTTGTCGAATGACGTCAACAACGATCTGGGCTTACTTAAACGGCGCAATTTTGCTATTCCCAAAACTGAAGAAACCACTGAAAGGAACAATTGAGGAGATCAAGTGAAGAATCGAGGAAAGAGCTGATGGCCAAACCGAAAAGCGCTTCGAGGATTGGAAAAAGCGTTGGCACAAGCGTATTATATCCAAGGGGATTACTTTGAATGAGACAAAATAGATATTGTTAAATAAAAAAGTACTTTACGAAAAAATTCAAAATTCACTTTTTCTTTTGAACACACCTCGTATAATGAAGAAAAGCAAAATAAGACTTGCAATTAATTGAATTTTGTCTGTAAATCTTAATTACGTGGTTTCTTTGTTTCATTTCACTTAACATAAAATATCTAAGAAACTGTAGTAGATTAATTTCGCTAAAGATCTCACAAATCTTCCCAAAAATATCCTAATCATTAAAATCCCAGCGATGGAGAAACAGACCTATGCCGTTTGAACGAAGAGATATAGCAGTAGATAGTGTTTCCTTTCATAGTAGCTGCAATTTTATGTAGAGTCCCGTCGGTTTAATGTGAGCAAAGGCCTGTAAAAGACTACTGTGATTGATGGCAGACTCCATTTTATATGATTTTTGGGGCCTTTCCAGAGAATAATAACAAAATTTGTTGTTAGGTTTACCTAAATATAAGCAGCAGCGCCAGGAATTCTAGAAGCTGCCACCATATGTTAGAGCTACATTTTTGTTAAGGCATATAAGTACTATAACAACATATAAATAATAATGAATATTATCTATACATAGCAGCAAAATCGATGTCAATGAACGAAAAACATTCCCATATAGAAAAAATATATGAATATGCGAGTATGTATCCATGTACACAGTGTAAACAAATGCCACTCTGGCATTGTCAAAGTTGTGATGGATAAGTTTCCACTTTGTCAGAAACATGCAAAAGCAATCATAACCAGTTCATTGTGTCATAATCCTGCTCAGCTTAGGATAACTGCATATTGATAATCGTCGGGCATTCGGTAAGCGGAATTCACAAAAACGTATAAAAAAATGAGGTTTAGAGCTTTATGTGGATCTTTATATATGTAAATAATACCATTACCAAAGCATAACGGCACCCACGGTTGATTGTGGCCATTTTACTTTCTCGTAATAGGCGCCCGTTGTCAGTTAATTGGCATGCGCTCGTAATTTGTTTACAGGTTACAATTTTTAAGCGACATTTACGTAAAGCAAGCGTACTAAAATCGTAACATTTCACTGAATTGTAAATAAAAACAGAAATAAAAAATTTTATATTTTAATATTAAAATGCGTTGCGTGTTTCACCGGGCTTATGCTTCTAACCAATGTCATCTTTCATAAGATATTTCTTCATTGTTTCTTAAAGAAAGTATTGTCTGTGAACGCGTTATTTTTATAGTCGTATTATTTAGTAGCTGTTAAAAAGAAAAATCTATACTTAGATGTTAATTACGAATATACTATCAACAGATCTATTACTAATTAATTTTAAAACTTTGAAAAGGATTTACAAAAAGTAGAGTAATACATATAATATTTTTTGAAATTCATAAACCTTTTCAATTACAAAATGTAGTTAAAAACCATATTTTGACAGGATTGAACTTTAGATCTTTCTGGATTTGTATTATAAAATTAAATTCAATGTTTTTGAGCAATAAAGAAGAAGAAGAAGAACTTACATAATTTACATATGCTAAATAATTTTCAAAATACTCCCGATGGAGGTGTAGAAGGTATTAATTCAAAGCAGATTCATTAAACAACAAAGGTTAAATCTTTTATGGTAGCATTCCAAGAAATTTTTCTTCAAAAATAGTATTTAACAGTCTTGCCATCTGACTTGAAATAAAAAAAAAATTTCCAAATTTCAAACAAACTTAAAATTTACAAAACAATGTGCCTAAAAAGCTTTAGAAACTTGAACTGCACTTGTTGTCACGTTATTCAAAATATTAATAATAATATATATTGATTATATCTTACTACAAAAGCATGATTGTGGAAAACAATTACATGAAATGGTGCAAAACATATGGTTACAGAAAGGAAAATGATTTGAAAGTGACGATTAAGTAAGACAAAAAAATCATTTATTTTTCTTTGAAAAAACATTCAGGATTTACAAACACATTTCTTTTTTTTTTTTGCTCTATATAAGAAACATAAAACCATGTTATATTTAATATCTACTTGTACATAGATACAACTTTGCACTTCTTAAACAAAAAGACTGCCAATATAGGTGGAATGGTCAGCCATTAAATGTAAAAATTATGGATTTATATGGAAAACCCTAGCGATTTTACATGAAAAATTCAACGTTTTCAACTGCCACTCAGTAAGTTATTTGGTTCGAATCTCAATTGTGGCAAAATCGTAAAATATAGAAAAAGTTTTATCCAAAAGCGACCGACCATCGGCGACGAGAAATTGCATATTTCTGTGCCTACTATAAGTTATTATGGGAAATAGTTATAAAATGTATTTTTACAAAATGTATTTATTTATAGTTGTAGAATGTGTGCCATTTTTAACATTTACGACTTAAAACAGTTTTTCCCTAATAGACATTTTTCCGCAGAGCAATATGTTGCAACAAAATCTAAGTGGATGTTTAGACTACTACTACACATACATATTTCGAACATATCCTAAATTCTGGTGAGAAATAAAATAAACAAAAAACAAGAAAAAAACGTTAACTTCGCTTGCACCGAAGCTAAAATACCCTACACAAATACAAAGGCTTCTTACAAGAACTTGATTCCGATCCTTCAGTTTATATGGCAGCTATATGATATAGTTATCTGATCTGAACAATTTCTGCGGAAATTGGATTATTGCCTTAAGCAACAATCCATGCGAAATTTCGTGAAAATATTACGGCAAATGAAAGAGTTTTTCATACAAGCACTTGATTCCGATTGTTCAGTTTGATTGGCCGTTCCGACAAGTGAGCAGCTTCTTAGTGAGAAAAGGACAGGTGCAAAATTTTAAATCTATAGCTTAAAAACTGAGGGACTAGTTTGTATATATACAGACATACGAACAGACGGACATGCCGAAATCAACTCAGCTCATCATGCTGCTCATTTATATACTTGTATACATTTTTTAGGGTCTCCGACGTTTTCTTCTAGGTGTTACAAACTTCGTGGCAAACTTTATTTAACCTGTTCAGGGTATAAAAATTAAAAAATTTGCACAGACAGACAGATTTGCGTGGGTTTTTGATATATAATTCCATGCATATACCATACAGAATATGCGGAAAATTTTCTTTTCATCTCGACTTCAATGAAACTGCATGGCTAGAGCGATGACTTTGTGGCTTATTGAAAACAATTTGGCTGATACACAAAACGTACACGGCTCGTCAGATGGAGGCTCAAACTTTGAAATCATTTTTTTTTCTGCTCTGGTCTTGTTCTTGTGGTTGTTTTATTATGAGAATAACTGCCGAAAAGTATGCTCAGCAATTCATTGCACACGCACAAAGCAATTTAAATGCAAAACCAATTCTCCAAAGCTATGAAAGCGCTGAAAATCACAAAAATACTCCAAACAACATCACATACGTGCCCGCCTGCCCCTCAGAGCTGTATACGCCACAAACACACACATACAGGCACATTGTATGAAGGCAAAGTGCAAAGTTTCGAATAGACATATATGGAAGTACATATATATTTATACATATCGTTATATACATATGTACCGCAATGTGGTACTGCACGTACGCACACACATACAATATATATAATGTATATATATATTGTATATATATACATATTTATATATTTGTATGTATGGTTTCATGTAGACTACTCTTCAAACGCACTGAGGGGAAGTGAAGTGCTTGACGCTTTTGAACTTTATTCATTTTTTTTTTTACACTTTTTCGTTACTTATTTGTTTTGTGCCTGTTGTTTTCTTTTATTTGCTTTATTGGCTTCCATTCGCTGCGTCGTTGTGTTGTCCGGCATTTCAAGGGTTAAATATGACGTTGTCATGTTGCAAGTGTGTGGAACCGAATTGATTTTTCCCACAGGCAAGGGACAAGGAAAGTTACAGCAACACCAAAAACAACAAAACACACATATGAGAGCAGTGATTTGAACGCATGAATGCACATTTTATGTTTAGAAGTTGCAACACAAAATTTTTGCACAGAAGAAATTTCCTTCGCACTTGCTTTTTCTAATCGATTTGCCAAGCAAACTTGCTCATGTGAAACTAATAGAGTTTGCTTTTCTATTTATTGGGCTCTATTGGATACTTACTGGTCCAATATTATCGAATCCGTAGCGCGCAGCCACATCGCCTGCTAGGTCATTGTCGACGCTGCGTTTAAAGCGCACCAGGAACGAGCTGGTGAATACGTCATTCTTCCCGTTAAACGCGGCCGGAGCAACGCTTCCGCCTGTGGCCACAGCGCTGGGCACATTAGTGACGAACACCACGACCAGCGCGCATACCAGGAACATTAGCAGGCCCGAAGGATTGCCCCATGCAGCAAAGACCATTGCACACTTATCGGACACCCTATTTATACTTTTGCGGCGCTTGTCACCGCTGCTGCTGCGTGCGTAGAAAAACTCACTATTTCACTTATTGTTGTGGCTACTTTTAATCTTTACCGTTATCGTTTGTGGTGACGTCGTTGAAATCACAAAATTTAATTACTATTTTGTTTTTATTAGCTTTTCGTGCTGAATTCTTTGCGTCCGCTGCTCGTAAATTGTGCGCTTATACTGATTTATTTTCACCACGGGCAATTTTGCACTTTACACTCGCGAGTAGGCAACACTGCGCCCAAATCTATACCAAGCAATATTTTGACACTTGCCAAATTTAGCTAAGACTAACATGTACACTGGAGCCAAACGCTTTTAATCACTTTGCAAGCACAGCTGATATTCTCTAATGCACAGAATGCTTCCACGCCAAAAAGTATGCTACTAATGTTTTCTATTCTCCTCAATTACTTTTCGTACTTAAGTTTATAACAATAATTCGGCTTACGGCTTGAATTGCACTACAATTTGCACAATATTTTTTGGCAGTTAATTTGTGCTCACACTGAGTTCTACTCAATTGACAAAACGGTAAACTGTGTAGTGCCGTATTTAGCCGCTTATACGAACTTAACTGCTACACTAACCGAACGAAACTGTTCAGCATTTGCTGAAGCAACGCCATAATGAATACCAAACAATCGAAGCAGCAGCTGTAAAGCAGACGAAGCGACATGTCTGCAAATGCAGCAAAAAAGCTTTCGAAAGCTCACGATACAACAATACGCCTGCTGCGTCCGCCCATCAAACCGGCTGGCCGAGATGCTCGACATGCACACACATATACATGAAGGTGTGTGTGTGTGTGTTAACGCTCATTCAACCCCACTTGTTGTGCCGTGCAGTTGGTTTCGTGTTGTTTGGTTGGTGGACTTCATTCACAGCATTGACAGGCAATCATCTGCTCAGCAGCTTAACGCCCGCTGCCTCCGCACGCACCGCGCTCCATTGTCGCGTCGTTTCGTCAAAGACTGCGAGTGTGAGTTGTGTTGTTTGAATGGCGCGCGCAGTGTAGACGTGGCCACGCAATTTGCTCTTGCGGTAGGTGGTGCGCCTAAATATATGCCTGACTGTAGCAGAACGCGCCAAAGCATATGAAAAGCAGCCGAGCAGCTATGATGTGTATACTAAATATAAATAGTCGTCGAAATATGTATGTTATGTAAATGAATAATAAATTCATGCGTATGTATGTGTAGATATGTAGCAGTTTTGGAGTGCAAGCACACATACACGTGTACATGCATAAGCGTATATACATATGTATATATGTTTGTATTTACTTAACTGGCGTCGTTTTCATTATCAGCACGATTGTGTGGCTGCCTTTTTGTGGTGTTCGCTTTTGGCACCGTCAAGAGAGTTTGCTGACGAAGACGTCACCAATTTTTGCGTACACACCCCTACAACCCGCCCCTGTAGCGCATAGTATATTCTGCTGTTGTTCGCTTTCGTTCTCTTGTTGCCGCGTGCGATTATTTGGCAGTAAAACGCTTTTGCACACACCAACACTCACACTCACACGCACAAACACATCCTAAATTCGCTTCAAGCAAAAGTTGCCGGTTAAAATTCGCCACTCTTGTTGCTTTGATGTACTTAAACACCCCTTCGGCTGATTTATAACAATAATTCAAAGTAATACTCTCAGCTTTATACAGTTTTTTAGTGACTAACTTCCGGTTAATCAAAAGCTGATGATACTTGAAATTAAACTTCCTGATATTTTGCACTTTTTAAACGAAATATACCGCCTTATGGAAGCTGGGGGCGCCTATGCGCTCACTTTTGTTGAAATTTTACTTTAAAAACCTTTCACATATTTTTGTTATTTTTTAAGAGGTTATATTCACTTGCAAATCAGAAAAACACGGTCTTTTTTGTGAATTTTTTTAAGGGGGTCTAGTTCTAGTCTAGTCTAGAGCATACCCATGATTTCAAGTCTCCTAGTCATCTGAAATGAAAAAAAAGATAATCAATCTGCAATGATGGCGCAATTGTATGAACTAGCGATAATTAAAAAAAAAAATTTTAATCAAAGTGCGACTGTTTGAAAAAAAAACGATTTTTTTTACCATTTTTTTTTTTTTATTTTATTGTATTTTTTAAAAATAGTAAAAATTTAAATTTGGGAATGAGGCTAGTTCTACACTAGAATACTCCTTTAAAAGACTTGTAATTTAATAAAAAAAAACAGTATACATTTACATAATTCAATGTACTTTAATAATCAGTGATACATTTTGAAAATTGTGGACCCCTTGATCCCGTAGCCGATCTCCAGGAAAACCTCCAAAAAAAAGGTGTCTGGCGTTAGGTTATTTTTCTACTTAGAAATATCTGAAATCGAAAAGCAAAAAGAAAAACCTATTATTATTGCAGAAGAAATCATGTAATGATCAATGGACTAGTCAAAATTTTAAATTTTTTATCAAAATGCGGCTTTACCAAAACAAGTCGTTTTAGTGCAAAATTTACACTTTAGAGTGCTTTAATAAATGGAGATTATTATCAAAAATTTTGTTCCCTTCATAATTACGTGAAAAATATATCTAAGAAGGTCGTGCGAAAATTTCAAGTCGAGAAATTTTGCTCATCGACTCTGAAAACAGCTACTCGAGAAAAACGCGTTTAAAGTTTAAGGAACCGATTACACTAAGTTAAAAAATTCTTACAAATACGGTCATATTTGCGAAACTACATATTTGACGAATCAAATTCAATTTTTCGGAGAATATTCTCAAACAGAAGTATGTACATTCACTATACATAAAAAACTAAAAATCTTTTTTTTTTTAATTCATATTTGCATAACTAGCTGAGTGAGATTTGAATTAACAAACTCAAATTATTATCTATTTGATTTGCTGGCCAAGTGATCTGTGAGATATAGAGCTAAGATAGGAGGACATTCAGAGCCCAAACTGCCATTTCAACTAACGCAATGTCAACAGCTGAACTTTAAGCAAGTTGTAGAAAAAAGTACATATTTAGAAAATTTATTTTAAAATATAGAAAAGTTGGGATTGTTCTTTTTAGACTTTGTATTGTGATTATGATAATTCTAATATTTATGCCCTAAAACATCCTCTTTGTCGATAAAAAAAAACGATAATATTGCGACTCAGAAATTATCTCTTGCTAACAACCACTTTCGTGTATCATTCTGGCAAAATACGGTTAGCAATTCGGAAAAACTTGCCACCTATGATTAGTTTTAGACAGTGATGACATCGAAAGGTCACCGCGGTGTATTTGTGTGAATAGCTTAAAAAAAATTCAATATTTCATTTTAAGCTCTCAAATCGTCGTTTTTTAATTTAAAAGAAAGGTATTTGTGAGTTAATTTTTTAATTTTTTTTTTTATTCTACGTTGTTATTTTTTTTCCTTTAAATTGTCACTGACTATTAATATTTGAAAAAAAATAATAATTTTTTTTAAATTTTTAGAAAAAAAATTTTTTAATAAAATAAAAAAACGTCGGTAAAATTGGTTACTAACATAAAGGTTAAGAGGGCATGCAAAGAGGTGGTTAGAGTAATGAAGTCACATTCTTTAATTTTTAGATTATTTCTAACACACTCACCTTTCATTTCTAACATAACCGGTCTCAAAGTGGTCTCAGTTCATAATCGACAATCAACCTTCAACCACCTAGCATGCTCTAAAACTACTTGAAAATTTGCTTATACTGTTACAACAGTACTTTCAACGGCGATTGTCGTTAAGAATTCTTCGTGGATCGCAAGAGCTATGTCCAAAGGTATTCAAATCTTATATGCAGTACACAATATAGATAAAATCTGTTGCCATTTTTAGGGTATTTTCATTGTGCCACTCTCTTAGTAACCTTTGTGCCTTTCGATAAAAAGCCACTTCCTAGCCTCGCTTGTGGCGAATTTTTCACCAGCAAATCAATTCGCTTCATTCACTTGATTCCAAGTCCAGGCAATAAAGTCGATGCATAAGAACCTCCAAATTAAGCTAACGGAGCCTCTAGCGAGCAACTATCGACGTCTGTGACCTGGTGTTGTCCTGATGGATCATAATTTCTTTCTAAGGCCGTAGGCGAGCAACTGATAGTAGATGATTTCCTACCAATCTCGCCAAACACATCCGACTAGATTGTCAATTCTAGCTTGGACAACTCACAGCTATTCAACCACGACCATTTTCAGTTGACGTTCAGACTCAACGGTTTTCATTATTTAATCGATATTTTCAACAGTTAGTCTTCGAGAGCGTAGTGCATCTTTCACATCAAAATTACTGATGATTAGCTGTTACAGGACCATAAACACTATTTACTTTTTCAGCGGCCAAGCTTGAGTTTTTGCTTTCAACGAAAAAAAAACTGTGAAATATGGCGAATTTTCTCTTTGCTAGTGTCCATCTTTGACACAAGCAAACAAACAAATAACTGTCTAGGAATTAGTTTTCGTACGAAATCTTATCTTTCTAACGTCATATAGTGAAACCCGATCGGACTTATGCAACGGAGATATAGATTACTAAAATCATCTATTAGAAAAATAATGGATTTCTTTTTACTGGACCTAACATTAGTTGCAATGGATAAAGTGACCTGTTTTCTCTAAATAGATACAAAGGCGTCTAACAATTGATAGAAAACTTTTCTTCTCAAACGGTTAACAAACGAGCATCATTGATTATTGATTTTACTACTATAATATTATTAGAATTCATTGAGCTTACGAACAAAAGGGTCAAAGTATTTTCAATTGCCGCTCTCCGATCTCCGCTCATTCATTTTGATTGTGTATCCTTCATTGAATGGATTACAGAATCCATACAACAGCTTCTTTGACATTAAAATCGAAACATATGCTGGCTTTCTTCGATGATAGTGAGGCGAGCTAAAGCGAACCCCAACAGACACACACAAACACAGCGAGGCTTATTTAATGTGTATACAATTAAATGGGGAAACAAGACACATACTCGCTGTGGAGCAGAGTGACGTCAAATGGACAGCAGACAAAAAATGAACACAAAACATCCACTTACCGACGGCCGCCGCACAACGCACTAACTCAGCAGGTTAAGAGGATGCCAAATAACACACACACACAAACAAACAAACACGGACTTAGGACAAACAAATTAAATGACAAATGCGGGAAAATAGCAGCACATGGAGCGAACTATCAACACAGCGGGTTGTGTAAGTATAAATATTACTCTACACACACGCACACATGCATTTGTAAATATGTACAGTAGCAAATGGCTTTATGGCCAGCATTTCCCATAATTTGCGCAATCACAATTAAAATAAATGATTTGCGATAAAAGAAGCACCAACTTTATTGACGGCGCTGATTTGTGCTTATCAGTGAAATAATACCAGCGTATGTGTGTGGGCGTGTGTGTTTTAATAACAACGTGTGCACGAAGAAAATGTGAACATATGGCAGTGGCGAGCGACTTCAATGCATGGCCAATGATGGAGTACACAACAACAAACAATAATAAAACAATAATAGGGCATGCGCAGTGCGCTCCGTTATTTAGCGACAGCCAGCTACAAATAAACTTCCAACGAAACAAACCAATTTATGGATAATTAACAGTTTATTTTAACGGTGATTAGAGAGCAAAAATAATAAAAGCATTAACATAATGATGGAGCAAGATGAATATGACATGCGGTAAAAAAAAAACAAAAACAACAAAATTAATACGACGTACTGTAAAAACAAAAATAAACAAGGCGAATACAATTTACATACTACAACAACATGACATGAAACGCTGTAAAAACAACAAGTTGAATATGCGCTACTGCAAAAGGAAAAAATAACAGCAAGATCAGTGTGAAAGCTAAAAGTAGGGAAAACCCGGAATAAAAGCAAGTAACAATATTAACAATAGCAACAAAAGAAGCAAAAGCAATTGATAACTAAATTTGATAAAGAGCACCAACATTTGACATTTGAATTGCAGTTTCTACTGCTTAAAAACAATTATAGTAAAATATTCAACAAAAATATTGCACTCAACGAAAGCCACGCGACTTGCAGCGGCACGATCGTAGCTTTAGCTCTTGATTTCTTAGAATTCTACGCAAAAGTCTTTTGCAGTGGCCCAAGTGGTATTCATGTAGTTGCTGCACTGGAAAAGAAACAGTTATTTTATATTTATTCAATAATCAATATTCAGTTGTTTTCAAATTTTATTAAGGGCTTATTAGGGCCCAACAAATTCTTAAAAATACGCTCATAGCTCCAAAACTATTTTTCGGATCAATTTCAAATTTTCTGAGAATATTTTCAAAGATATGTTTATTATTATTAGATAAGTATATAAACAAAAAAAATCGTTTTTTTGAACATCCCTTAACAACAAAGTACATTTGACAGCAAAGTAAAGAGAAAACAGCAGATGAAAAGAAGAACCGATTTATAAAACTTCTTTGTAGGAAATATATGCCAATTAGATAGTATTAAAAACATTTTCGAGTTAATTGAAAGGTATAATCTACTATATATATTACATATACAAAAAAATTTTGTATAATAATTCTCATACTTATATACAATTTGTTCATCAGAAGTACATAGGTATGTATAGTGAACTAAAAGAAAACTTGTACAGAGAGATGGTTTGTCGTTGAAGTGTCTTATCTCCAAAACTATTAAAACAACAACAACAATTTGCATACAAAAGTGAAAAAGACCGTTTTTTTAATTTATCATAATATAATTGAAATTTATTTTTAAAAATCCAGTTTTCTGCAAAAAAGTTTAAAATCAAAATAAAACAAAAAAAATATTTTCGAAGACCTAAAAAATCTTGCAGTTTGCATAAATTGACATTTTAACACTCTTTAAATAAAATTAAAACTTTGTATGTGCACCTTTGCACTCTATCATGGTTTGCAGTCTTTTATTCATATAATCAACCATATTTTGTGTAAGTTCATGAAAAACTGAAGAGCAGCCTTAACCTCAATTAAGGCCAACGCGTGTTCAATAGGATTGAGCTCTGGACTCGGGGCAGGATATGACAGCACTTTTTCACGTTGTACAACAACCATTCCTTAACAACTAAAGCAGAATGCTTTGGGTTGTTATCCTGAATAAAGCAATAGCCACCATTAAAATTGATTTTAGCTGCTGACGGAGCCAAATTATTTTTTAATATTGCCTGTAAACCATTACTTACATAATTCCTTCGATAAAAAATGTTACCGACTGCCATTTGCTCTCATTGCAACCCTTTTGCTTCCATTGCACCAAACACCACACACTGCCGCCTCGTCCGTGCTGACAGTTTTACATATCAATACTTCAGGAATGTTTTATGCCGCTACTACAACAACAACGACCATCAGAATCAAATAAATTAAGTTTGGACTCATCGTTAAAAATTAGAGAATCACAAAATTCGTTATCACGTTGGATATACTACAAGTAGTAAATCTAATTAAAGAAATCTTAACAGTCAACATAAAAATTTGATAACAAGATGTTCAACATTGAAATTTGATAACAAGATGTCAAGTTTTTTGAAATATTCAACATATACTTATTTGCCGTTTATAATCGGAAATCATGAATTTGTTCGAATAATGAAAAATTAGGAACATACGTATAGCTCACAAATGAGTCTCGTAAGACAAATTCATGCTTGAATTCTCAGCTACGTAAGCCCGACTGTCGTGGGAAATGATAGAGACGTCGTCTCTCCTAAATGTTCACAAAACTATGAGAGTGAGATAAACACTAGAGCGGGTCGATTTACAGGTAGCCAAAAATCGCTTTAAAAATCTAAAATAAAGGCATTTAATATGGTGGAAGGGAGGGCTTTTAGCTGTTGGAAATAACAAACATCTACATTATATGTATGTACGAGTATATGCATCGTTTATATTTATTTTCATAAAAAAAAATATTTTAATTATTTTAAGAAATAAAAAAATTGTGATTTAAAGTCTGAAACTTCGCTTTCATTAATTGGTATATTGTTAAATAGTTTTATAATTACTTATAAAAATATATATTTAAATAAAATAAATTGTTTGTTCACATGCTTGAGTATAGCCAATTTATATAAATATATAATAATTTTCAGCATAAATGAAATATGAGCGATGAATGTATTTACTGTTATGAGGAAGCTCTTAAATATGAGGAACAAGCCAAAAATATAAGCTTACTTAATTAACTTTATGCGTACATGCATGTGACTTAACTTGACAATCAGTTCAGAAATGTCAAGGGTCTGCGTTATCAAGGATTTCCAGCATATTACCTATAAACTAAATAACTAAAAATATATTTAATGCATGTGACCAACGGATATCGGTTGTAAACTCTAATTAATAGAGTATTTGTTATTATTATTAAACAAAAACAAAATAAAATACTATAATACTTAGTTGATTATTCTATGGCTTAACAGTTAGATAGTTGTTCATCTTTCTCACAAACTCCTTCAATTAATTAACGCTATCAAAAATTATTCAACAGAACCCTACTATCACTAGTTCAAACAGAACATATTTATAGTTTCATCGAGGTGTTCATCATAACTTAATTATTTGCTTATGCAATTATGAATTATCATTATTTTCGTATACATACTGATGAACCATTAAGCATCATTGTTTTGTATCACATTTACACAAAATCATCAAAGCATAAATTTGTCATATAATTTAGCCCTAGAATTAGACGATTATTTTCACTTGAAAGTGAAATGAAGGCATCATAAATGCATGCTTAATAACTAGAGTTCGAATTTTTCACAAAGATTTCCTATGCATATCCTTAATTAAAAAAGAAATATATATATTTACTTCGTTAATTGCTAGATTGATATTTTTTTTGTTGAATTCGATACATAAAAGCAATGCAATCGTGGCGCTTCGTTTATATTTGTGGCCAATTTACTTCTGGTTATGGGGCTGCCGACTACGATCTATGATGACAAAAAAAAGTATAATATACTGTATGCACTATTGGGAAAAAAAACGCATTCCCTGCGAATTTTAGCTAAGTTATTCGGGATATTGAGCTCCTCAAATAGCTCGCATTTACTTCACATGTTATGTATATTAAACCTTAAAGAATTTGATACAAAGCACGACTATGTTTATTATGAATTCAAAAATTAGAGTATTTAATAAAAAAAATTAGATAATTTACTTACAACCGGAGGCAGCACTTGTAGAGGAACGAAGTGTTGTTGAACTAGAATGACGTTTGATTTTTGGCGAATAAACTGCTTTACTACTTGCCGCACTCAAAGAAGTTTGTAACGCAGATGAGGTGATAGTTGAGATTCTTTTAGATGCTCCGGCACCGCCAGTAGCTGAAGTCATCGAAGTATTCGTCGGCATAGAATTGTGTCTTTGGAGCGAGATACGTGACTTTGGTTGTTGTGTTGCCTGCATAATTTCATCATCAAGTGAAAAGAGCCAATCATCTGGCGTGTCATCCTCCAAAAACTTCATATAAAGAGACGAACGCTTTTCTTCACGATTTGGAATGGTGGACGTATTTTTTCGATTTAGTGCCGTATTATTTGTTTGTATTGAATCATTTGCAACTAATGTTGTTGTAGTTGTCGTTGTTTTAATTTCTGGCTTTTGTGTTAGCTCTACTATTTTTGATTCGACCTGTTGCGTGGCTTCAAGTAATAAATCATCAGAATCTGAGTCATTGAAGAAGTCATCTAAAGTATCGTTTGCATTTGTGAAAATATCGTTTATTTCAGCCAATTCTACTATGGATTCCGATTCTGCGGTTGCTTTCAAAAAATTCCTATTTTCTTCTTCTCTTTGAAGTTGCTCTCGTATTTCTAACTTCTTTTCCATTTCCTGCATGCGTCGTTTCTCTGCTTCTCGTAGTTGTTCCTGTAGCTTAGCACAACGCTGTTTTAATAATTCGTCTGCACGTAGCTTTTCGGCTCGTCGCATTTGTATTTCCAGTTTTCGGCGCTGTTCTTCCTTTCGCACTTCATAAGCAAGCCGCTGAGCATTGGAATCGCTACGAAATCGTCCGATTCTGCTAATTACTTCTCTACTACTCGACCCGGCTGAAGTAAAACTACTATCTGCAGCATAAGCAGAATCTGGAGTTGCAGTTTCTGTTGGATCATCGGTGGAGCGACGGCCCCATTTCCAACCGACTTCAGGACTATTTGAGGAAAGTGTCTGCGATAGCAAACTGCCGGGCGAAAAACTATTATCGAAGCATTTAGGAGAATATTCCACACTGTCATCCAAATTGAATTTTTTGTGTGGCGGTGTACATTCGATACCTCCATCAGAACTTAATGAAGCAATTGAAGGCGTTTTAGGTGTTCTTAAAAGTTTGTATTCGTCACTATCATTGTTATTATCGATGCTCATAATTGTGGATGAACGCATTTTTCCTTGTAAAATATTTGGAGACGCTGAAGGTAAAAAAATTGTAATCCATTTACATATGCAGGTACAAAATCATTATTTCTCTACAACTATTGTTCCATATAATCTCAACATACTATCTCTTTTGTGATGTCGTCCCAAAGTAAGCGAACCTCTTTTTTTCAATCTAGGAGTTCCTTCCATTCTCATATATTCTTGTGTGAAATTCAATTTATATAAATATCATACTACATATATTGGATTATCAAAAAAAATTCGTTTCAAAAAACAAACTTAACATAAATACGCGGTAACTAAAGACAATCATTGCCATAAAATAAAAGAATATGGTGGAATGGAACAGAGCAGTGTGTATACCTTCCAAATACTTTAGAAACAGTTGTTCTCTAGAGTTGCCATATTTTTAAACGCAATATAGTTATAATTTGTTGTGATTTGGTTAGTTCTTGTAATCAACTAAAAATTCTTCAACTAAGCCCGGACTACCGAAACTCCAATACATTGAAAGAATGTGCAAGGGAACTAACGCATACACTCGGTACAACTGAGTGTAATAAAACGATGAACAATCACAATAATTAACCGAAAGTTGACTATAATAGTTATAATTTCCCAAAGTTTAACATATATTTGCTAAATGTTTGTTTGTTATAATTTTTTAATATAATTAAATGTCATAAATAAGATTTAGTAATTTTATAATGGTAAAGGCAATTTAGCTGCTAGACGATACTTCATCATAAATCATCAGAAAATTGTTTATCTCCAATTATAAAAAATTATAATTTTTCAAAATGAAACAAGCAAATATTTTGATTGATACAATTGAAATAATAATGAAACAATTTGTTAATATGGCAGACACCGTAAACACAGCTGATTATGACGTTCCGTCGTGCGTGTGTTCGTTGAAGTTTTGGTTTTTATATTTGGGTTGACGATTTTTGGAACTGTATGTTGAAAGTATATACTTATTATATATATCCTACAGTAATAAAATAACCTAATCCGTACAATATATTATTTTAGAACCCTTAGTGTCACTGTCGGAGAAATTACTGAAATGGGAGCGGCACATTCAACAGAACCACGCTCGGTGTCGATGGAGAACCCGAACCCAGGAGTTATCGACATATCCGATGAGGTTGTGCAACGTTTAAAGAAGGGCATAAACAAACAAGGTATATACGATACAAATTGGTTTCCGAACGAAAAGTATATAGACCAGCCACTAAAAACAGCAATAATTCATTAGTTATCTGCTCAAATCTTATTGGCATTTGTTATGCAACAGTGACACTGCCGATTCGGTTTTTGTTGCTATTTTATGAAAGCCACTCACACTGGAATTAGTTTCTAATATTAATTATATTTTTAGCAAAAGAAAATGCTGCGTCAGCATCGACACCAGCCTCTCCAGTAAAAGATGTTCGCCCGATTCCCGTTAAGCCGGCAACACCACCAGTTGTAGTGCCACCCACCGTTGTTTACCAAGCACCTGCACCTCAGACAGTTTACGTTGCTCCAAGCGGCACAACAATCACAGCAGCTGACATGGTGCGTCAAAAAGAGGCAGAACTTACCCAAAATGATGCGATGTGGCGTCAGCGTTTGGTTGAGCTTGAACAGACACTGAAGAAAACGAATACAATAATGGAAAAAGAATACTCCTCAGCACTTGAGGATGTTCGTCAACGTTTTGCTACAGCTTCTCCTGTACACCAATTACCGCCTTGTCAGGACCTCAAGGCACAAGTCATCGCTTGTTATCGCGCAAATCCTGGTCAGACTTTGAAGTGTTCCGATGAAGTTGCAGCTTTCAGAGAATGCATTAACTTAAACCGTATCAAAAAACTTGATGCTGAGGATGCAAAACCAATTGCTAAAGCAGCTTAAATCTTCGCCGCCTTATACTTGAAATAGTGGTTTATCGAAAAATGTGCTGTAACGAAATCACTGTGCTAGCCAGTCTTTTTGAAATTTCATTTTCAGTAAAATAAGTTTAATGGTATAAAGTATATGAGTGTTTAACTTCTGCTGAACATAATGTATCGCTTATGAAGTCCGAAAGTAAATTATAATTTGAAAACATAAATCGCTTTTTGCAAATGTGTTTTTTCATTGGCAATCCAAAAGTAAAAAACTCTTAGTACACTCTAATATAATCAAGTTTTATTTGTTTATTTTACATCTTAAAACAATTAACATAAATTTAACAATATTTAAAGCATATGAGTTCTACAAAAGAAATTAACAAGATTAGCCCAATTTGTGAATGGGGTTAAGGGAAAGTTATACAAACATACCAACGCATACATGCTTGCTTCGAATAACAGTTTGAGCACAATCACTAATAACAAAACAACTTTATTTCCTCAATTTGTTTTAGGAATAGAATGATCTCAACAAAGATAATGTAACCAAAATTATAAAACTGTGTTGCGCCACCTGACTGGAGCCACTTGAGCTATGCTTCTGTACCGTCTTACAACTGTCGTCCACATCTTTGGCAGGACCCATGCAACCGGCATAACTCATAACGTACGCTAGATAATTCTGCTCAAAAACACCACGAATCATATTCGATCCAGGTCCATTTGCAAACACTATAACATCCTCACCACCATGAGTCTCGTCTTTCAAAGGCAAAGTGGCTCGGTGACGATATGTGGGTGACATGCGTTGTAAAGCTGTGAACTTCTCAAGTGGCAGCCAAACTTCAGCGCCTACTGCACCGACGCTCTCATTTGCTAAATGATCATAATATCCTGGGCCATTGGCATAAGATATTGTCTCGTACACTACACGTTCGCTGGTCTTGTTGGCAAAACCGAGAATGTCCGCTCCACGCTTTGGATAGCCATTCAGGGTGACCGCGTGTGAATGGTCGGCAGTTACTAGAATTAAAGTTTCCTCATCATCTGTGAGATCTAACGCTGCTTGGATCGCCATATCGAACTCGAGCACCTCGCGCATAGCTGCGCGTGCGTAATTCTGATGATGCGCTTGATCGATTCGCCCTCCTTCCACCATCAGCATAAAGCCCTACAATAGGATTAACAGTAAAATGAAAAGGTCTACTAAATGAACATTATTTTCTATACCTTCGCATCATCATCCCGCTGCAGCACGCGTATAGCCGCCTCTGTCATTTCCTTTAGCGAGGGTTCACCTTCTTGACGTGCAATGGAGTAAGTGATGTGGTTATTCCGGAAGAGCCCCAACAAATGATCCGTTTTCTCAAAGTTTATCTTACTTAATTCCGCTTGTGACTGCACAAATACGCGTGAATCATTTTTGCCCAGTTTCAGCCATTCGTCAACAAGGTTGCGACCATCTCCTCGTGCACACACTTTTTCGGAGTCGCCTTCGAAGCGCACAGTGTTCGGCTCGTTCACGCGTAAAGCACCCATTGGCGAAAGACCACCACCCAGTATAACATTAAACTTATTACCTGGCGCATTTTCTATCAGTTGGCGCGCAATATCGACATGCTTTCCAACTGATTCGGTGGGTACCTTAGTATCGCACTCCCAGTCGCGATTATAGATGCGTGCGTACGTGGATGCCGGTGTGGCGTGTGTTATGCGTGTTGTTGTTACGATACCAGTACGTTTGCCCTCCGCTTGCGCCCAGTCCATTATGGATTTTAATCGACCCTGGTTGGCATCCACCTTAGAACGGGTCATATCCATACCTATGGCGCCATAGTCAGTTTTGATACCACAAAACATAGCTGTTGCAGTGCCCGCAGAATCCGGTACTTGTTTGTCCACATTATAGGTCTGGAAACCATTATATTTGCAAACATTGAGATTAGAATTATTTGGTTCAACTAACCTTGGCCAAGCCAGTGTAGGGAAACTCATCGAACGCCAACATTTCCTCTTCACCAAAGCCGTGCTTCAAATATTGTCCCTTAAAAATGCGTCCAGCAGTTATTGTTGTTAAACCCATGCCATCGCCAACGAACACGATTATATTTTTGGCTTTCCGCGCCGGTTCACCTGTTTTTTTGGCCACTTTCATAGCTTTTCGGAGCTGTTTCATACCGATCTCATGCCAAAAAGCCGCGTCTAAATTAGTTGAAGAAATTAAATTATAATAAGTAAAAATTTTTTCATTTGAAAACAGTAGAGTACATGAGTTAATAGATAAATAAAGTCAATCTTAGTATTCCTAAAACATGATCTTACAAGGTGATTCCCTTATTGTTCAATGTAAGTCCGAATTAGATTGCACTTATTATTGTAATAACTTGTTATTATTGAATTAATAATTATATTAAGTTGAAATCAGTTTGATATGTATTCTATGTATGTAATATAAAATAATTGAGTCAAATTTGAATCCTGGATTAATTTAAGACTTGCTAATACTTTCGTTTGCGCATAATTTTTACGAGGGTTAACCACTATGTATTTGAACTCTAAATACACAATTGCTATTTATTAAGTTTACTTTTCGCTTGTGGTTTTGCCTGCTTTATAAATGATAACCGATTTTTAGGCACCCATATACATACTCAAATACGAGTATATATTATAAAAAGTAATTAAATTTTGTTCATACAAGTATTGTAAAGTAATTGCTTTACATCCAAAATATATTAGCTTTAAGCAGACGCATGTTTTAAAAAAGCACGTAAGTCGAGACTGCACTTCTGTAAATGCTGTAAGAGAGGTAACCGTCACTAAAAAAAAGTGATCGTTGGGATTTATTTAAAATATTCGTTTCTTATTATTAGTATAATATTAGAGGTATTAAAGGTATAGACTATCGGAATTTGCAAAAAAAATTGGATTTTTTTCCCGAAATTTTATACTAGGGGTTGTGGCTTCAGTTCTATATTTTGAAAATAATATGTAATTATACCCTGAACAGGGTAACGAAGTTTGTAACATCCAGTAGGTAACATCGAAGACCCTGTAAAATATGTAGATATATGATCAGGTGAGATGAGCTGAGTCGATTTAGCCATGTCCATCTGTCTGTTCGACTGTATGTATGCGAACAAGTCCCTCAGTTCTGTGTTCAGTGAGATATTGAAACGAATTTCGCACACATTCTTTTCTCCTCAAGAAGCTGCTCATTTGTCGGATCGGACTACTATAGCATAGACATAGCTGCCATACAAACTGAACTATCGAAATCGAGTTCTTTTATGGAAAAGTTTTTTATTTGACGATATATCTTCACAAAAATCAGTATGCATTATTAACGGTATAATCCACCAAAACAACGGTATAATCTCTGAAAAATTTCTTCAATCGGACCGCTATAGCATATAGCTGCCATACAAACTGAACGATTAAACGCAATTATGTGGAGAAGTTCTTTTGGGATGGGATCCACAAACTGCCAGAAAGATGGACAAACATCGTAGCTTCCGATGGGCAATACTTTGAACATTAAATGTATAACAATTTTTTCACAATAAAGTCTTAATTTTCGAAAAAAAACAACGCACGAATTAATGCATACACACATCTGTATCGAAACCAATTCATTGCGATCACTCCTGGGTTTGACAAGTGGTTTCGTGGAATTGAGTTGTGCAGTTTTAAGAAATTATTGGTAATATACATATGTGTGAACATATACAGTTAGGCCATTTCGTTTTATCGTTGCCATAGCCGCACGTGAGCAAGCGGCAAAATTTTGCCAGCAAAATGTGTTGTATGTGTGTACATATAATATGTTTGTAGCACCATATTAAAATTTTGTCAATGGGACCTTCATTCAAGGTCAACGCATATCTGGTTTTTAAAGAAAAGCACAGTTATATACATATTCAAAATGTGATTTCGATATAACGAGGGAGTTTATTTGACTTTTAATTACTTTCGAATAAAATTAACATTTCATAGAAAATAAATTTGTTTATTCAAAGGAAAAACATTAAATGTCACTACAAGTACGTAAAATAAACATTTTGTTTTTAATACTGATAAATAAATAAATTCACATTTTTGTCGAAATTTATATTGTTTACCGCTGGCTGTTAATCAAGTACAACAGAAGCCGTTGACGCTTATTTCATATTTCATAAATCAATTTTGCTGTTTTCGTAAATTTCTTTTCATAGTCTTGTACTAGTAATGTAAGCAAATTTTGTCAGACGGAATATATTGAAAACATGTACTTAGAGAAAGGAATGCATTGTATGTACATATGTATGTATAGTTAAGATTATTTGTCAGCAGTAGTATTATATTTTGTTCTGACTACAGACGCTTTGATTCTCAGCAGGATAAGGCGATCTTTCATGTATTTCTAACATGAAATGAATTTAGCACTGCGAGTAAAGCTTAAAACTTATAGAACCTTCCGCTTGCTAGATAAAATGGGATATACATATCATATTCAAACCTGTTTCTTGAATGACCAACCCTTGGAAAATGTTGATTATTGACATACGATATTTTTGAGTTAACCGTAGTGATTAAGACCGCGCTTGGTTGTGACAAATTTAATTTTTTTTATTGCGCGCTACTGTTTTGTGGAATTAACTTCACCTTTGACTTCGAACTGCTCAGATGGTCTAACATTTACCACATATTAATTTTCAAGCTTACAATAAAAGGAGCACATAGAAAAAAATTTCACTACCCCACCCGTGCTGTGCACGTTCTGAATTTCTGAATTCTTTTGAGCGAAGAAAGTGGTTTTGGTTTAATTGTAAACTGAATACTCGACATAAAACTTAACTAAGTCGGTCCGTATTGCTGAAATATGTTAGTTATACAAGGGGAATCACACGAACAATGTCAATGTAAGAGAGCGTTAACTAAACAGGAGGAATACACTTGCGCAATTAATTGGAGATACTTGTTTAAGTATCAAGCTATTTATACTTAAAACAGTCTAAATTCAAATTTTATATAAAATAAACTGGCTCAACGTGATCACGAAGTCGTTTTATTTCTTAATTAAGCATCAAAGTATTCAAAATAATCAAATAATCGTTTGAATCAATGGGTCACGAACCCATACTTAAAACAATAAGAAACGTTAATTTCAGTTGAACCGCAGCTTTAATACACTTCACAAATACATAAGGTTCCTTACAAGAACTTGATTTCGAGAATTAATTTTGTATGGCAGCTATTTGCTACAGTGATGCGATCTGAACAATTTCTTTAGATATTGCATTATTACCTTAGAAATTAAAAAGTTTTCCATGCAAGCACTTTATTCCGATCGTTTAGTTTGTATGACGGCTATATGCTATTGTGATCCGATAACGTCTGTTTCGATAAGTGAGCAGCTTCTTGTTCAGAAAGCAGGTGAAAAATTTCAGATCGATATCTTAAAAACTGAGAAACTATAAGATATATTTATAGACAGATAGACGGACAGACAGACGGACATGGCTAAGTCAACTCTGCTCATCATGCTGATCTTGTATATATACATTTTATATGGCCTCCGACGTTTAATTCTGGGTGTTACAAACTTCGTGGCAAACTTAATACGTTATACCCGATCCAAAATTCACCTTCTCCTTTGAACACATCTCGTATAATTATAAACAAATATACTATGCGTATTTCCAGAGCCGACCGCACTTCACCTTTCGTAAAACAGATTGTGTTTTATTTTAATTAGTAAGATAAAAATCTCTGCAATATTTGCGTTTATCTGAGCTACATGATGAATGAATTAACGCTACTCTGCAGAATTTTTATCATCTTACAATTATTTTGTTGCTGAATTTTACAGACCGCGTAGTCCAACAATATTACGCAAATGCAGAAAAGTTATAAAATAATCTACTCTTATGGAAAAATAACTTACTTTATACACGACGAAAGTTTAGTAGAAATAGACAATTTGATTTAAATTGTAGTTCAATCTAGTATCAAATTTCGAAAAATAAATTACATTTTTATATTTAGACATTTCAATAGTTTATACCCTTAAAAATAATACACTAAATTCTAAGATTCTTCGCTTGTCATTTATCCGACTTGATTAAGCATATTTACATACACCAACTAGGCATCGCTTGAGTGTGTTATAAATATATCAACGTGTTATTTAGTAACTAATCAGCTCATTAATTAGACTCATTACATGTGAAGCAGAACTTGTGAGACACTTAGTACATACGTAGTATGTAAGCTTGTATTTCAATTATGCATATCTAAAGTCACATATCACTTAACTGCCGTATGTAGGTATGTGTAGATGTACATATGTATGTCTGTATGTCTAAAAGTGAGAGTATATGTTGATAGATTGTATATCTTCTAAGTTAAGCTGCGCGAATGCCAACTACTATTTCTAAAAAATCCTGTGATAACTGCTTTAAGTGAGTTGTCTGTGGTATTCGCTTTCAATTTGTTCGATTGAGTGCGTAAATCGTACGACCTGACGGCTCAACTACGCGATTGGCTTTAAGCTAATTATACGAATTTTAATTAATTACTAATTTCTTAAAATAGGAAAATATGCATTTTATCTTTTGCGGCATGAAAACTTATAAAAACCAGTTGAAACCAAATCAAATAGAAGACAGGTTGCAATTTGAATTTTCTACATTAGAAAATTACATACAATGTAATGTAGTGAGTTATTATGCAAACATAGATTTAAATAGTTATTTAAGTTAAAATGCGTAAGTAGAAATTTTAAATTTTCTAAAAATTATATCATGCGAGAAAAGTTCCAATAGGGATAGCGAAAATCGCTATGACTTCATAAAAGTTATAAATTCTAGAGAAACTGCAAAAATATTGACCAATAAAAGATTTGTAAATAGCTGAAAGAGTATTGAACATTTCTAAGATTGGAATTTTAACCCTGCATCTATGATATAGTCGACCTGTATGTTCTGTCAGAAACTCTTAACAACTACCAAATGGTTAATATCAAAATTTCGCGCAATATTTTCGATAAACTGCTCGTCTTGTATTATTATATATATTTTTTGACACATTTTCAACGTTTTCTTTCTAAAATACTTACAGTTTATTTACTTTATAAATATTTACTCTAAAAACAAAGTTTGTGTTGTCGAAATTTCAATTAGCTGTTATCGATCAGTTGTTTTTTTTTGTTTTGCTAGTAATTTTTGCTGGGAACATTTTTTCGAACAAAAATTGTTATGTACACGAATGACGATGCCAAACAGCCCAGAAAGTGTTCTTCAATCAAATTTTAAAAGCAAACTCTAGTATTGTATATTGAACGTCTATCTTATCATTAAATCAGCAGCATTAAATGAGAAGATATCAAGAGAAAATGTTTGCAGCACATTTTACAGAATTTTTCTAGTTCTCCGTCTTTATCTCACAAAATAATATGTTATACCAAAATCCACCAACATTTTCAATTGTTGCAGTGATTTTATTGCACAAACGGAATTACCTGCGGAAAGCTATATTGAAGACCATAATAAGAGATATTGAGCCGCATAAGTATATTGGCAGTTGTTGATATACAAGTATACTTGAAGGCTCTTCATAGTACTATTCACCATATTACAGAATGAAAATATAAATTTTGAAAAAAACGTTGTATACCTTGCTTGCCTCTAAACTTCCAAACTAACTTGATCTTATAAATAACCTTTATTGTCTGACTGCCATAAGCTTACTTATATCCTGGACGCTGCCAAAACATCCTGGTAGTAGTAGAGTACAAAATATATCAATATATTGTATTTGTGGATAAACAATTAAGAACTATTCGAAGAAAGTGTTCTGGTAGCGCTAATTTCGTGTACACAGCTGTAAAAACTCGCGTTGTTTAATTACTAAAGTTCGTGACGGGACAAAAGAAGTGACTATCGCTCGAATTTTTATTTTAACAGTTAAACTTCAAGTATTTAATATGCAAATATTTAAAAAGAAACAGATAATGCAAAAACTTTAGTAGCAAGTCGAAAAGAGCAGAAAATA